ATTAGATCCTGTTTTTATGCTGCTATACAATTTATTGATGTATGACCGTAATGTTGTACGGTCTCCTTTTGACAGTCTCAGTTTTTACAAAAGCCTGTAAGCCTCAAAAACATTCATACTGAGAACTCATGCAAACCAAATCATGGTTGTGAGTCTTCTATTAACCTCTTTACCATGAAGATACCATTTTACCACTTTTGCTTGGGATCATTGTATTGCTGGAGAATGAATCCACACCTTATGAGTCATGGTCCTACAAAAATGGCTTGAAAAATCAGAATCTGCCAGTATTTTAAAGTAGACAGAGTGGCATCAATTTTGGGAAGTGCAACCCAAAAATTGTACTCCTCAATGTAGATTTTGTCCATTAGACTCCTCTTCAACATCACTGATTGCTACCAAATAATTTGAACTCATTCCACTGCGTAGTCTTATGCCAATTTCAACTTTTTGGTTTAGTTACTTCATCTCAACAGCGATTTTTGAGCAGCTACACAGCCATTTGAAATTACTTTGTGTTAATGTGTACCTTACTGTTCTTGAAGTAACATTCATGTCTGTGTTTACAGCAAAATCACTGTTAAGATCTAGGCTTGATCATTTTCTACATTATAAAGAACATACCTCGAGATACTTGACATCACTTTGGAAAGTTTTGGATTTCTACCTCAACCACTTCTATTACACAGATTGCCAGTTTTAGGTACTCTCTTTAGAGATATCCATAAAGCTATTACTGAAACATAGTGTCTCACTGCAAATTTTCACATGTAGTATCCTTGACCAGCCAAAACATTGATTTCTACACACATGCTGTGCAGTATTTCAATCCTTGGAGCCATAAATGGATTCACATTACTACAACTGGACACAGCATGAGTGCATGGATTTTTAAAGGCTTTTACTATTGTGGCACTTTAGTTATATAGAAATCAATACACTATTAACATGTGACTGTACCCCTTTTTACAAGATAAAGGTGTGGCTTTCTCATAGTCTTTGGCTTTTATACACTTTTTCTCTCACCATTACCATAATTATATTCAATAATGTATGTTAGAAAGTTATCATTAATCATTTATATTTTAAAAATACAATGAAAATTTCAGTTTTCAAAAGACTAGCTTACCAGTTTTGAATCATCAAGAGGTTCATCTTGTCGTATGACTGCATCATTTATGGTTGCTTTCTTCTGTTCAATGTTTTTCTTAGCAGCAATCTCTTCTTCCTTCAATCTTAACTCTAATTCTTGCAGACGTTCCTGGAAAAATGTTCAAAGACTTTTAGCATCAACAGCTATTAATGATTTCAACAAAGATATTGTATTACTTTATGTTTACAAAAGTTATATATTACACTACTAACATTTCTTTAGAACCTAAATATGTAGTTAGGTTAAAAAAAAGAAGGGTTAATTTTTCAATTTATACACAAAATGGTTAATGTTAACAATAATCAAGAAGTTTGTCAGACAAAAAAAAAATAAATAAATATATACCCTGTATTTCTGTTCTGCTATTTCCCTAGCTTTTTTAGGATTCATTTGTTTTTTCAACATGGCTTCTTCTTGTTCCCTTAATCTCAGAGCTTCGAGAACATGTCGGTGCTGCAATGAGGGAAACAAAACGTTAAGTCATTAAAAAGGTAAGGATACAATTTCTTTGTAATAAATACTATGAAATTATATATAACAGTTACACGCACTAATAAGTTTTGTTCGAAAACTCAATAAAAACCATCATTTCTTTCCTTCTGTGTGAAGAAAAACCATTCATAGGTAAAACTTTGGTAGGTGTACCTTTTCATTAGTATAAAACTGTGTTCAAATGGATTTATGCTAATTTATGCTAGTAATATGTACAAGAAAAAAATTCCTTTTTTTTTTTGTAAGCCTGTTAACTACAAAATACTTCGGCATTTGTATACACTGGTCTATTATTACACTTTATATTTGGGTATTATTTTCATTTTCCATGTTTAGCTACAATGATTTAGGAATCCATAATTTCAAACAATCCTAGTCCACACAGTTGTACAGTCAAATGTTTTGTCAAAAATCCAAAATAAAATAACTCTCCTACATTTCAGAAAACACAAAGAAACTAACTCTCTCATATCTGCATCTATATGTAAACTAACTATATAATAAAAAATAAGTGTATTTAACTTCTTTTAAACTTTATTTCAAATTTTTGAATAGCACTCCAAAACCAGCTCCAGGTTCTTTGTCTGACACAGGACCATAATGACTACAATTTCAGTGGCATGGGTACACAGGAGCATAGCCAACTTGATTTATGCTTCCATTGGCAAAACCAACTATATAGACAATAATCTGTTAGTACAAAACTGAAAGAAGCACACAAGGGTAGAATTCAGATTTTTATTTAGATGTTATAACAATACAAGTTGGTAACATGCTGTAAGGAAACAACAGAAAGTTTCATAATATTACTTTTATAAAACATTACGTCTCCTGTAGTTACATAGTTCCTTCTTGTTCCTAATGTTTTTTTTATTTCTTTACTGAAAAACAGTGCCTTCTGATTAGTGATTGATAACCACAAAGGAAACCAAGATGTCTGAAAAAGTTGGATATAACAATACTATTTAAGACACATCAGAACAATCCAGCTCAAGTGATAATGGGATTTTTTATGCTAAAAAAAGATGCATTGATCTTTCATCAGGAAATCACTTACCCTTCAAAATATTGAAAAATACTCTTAAATTTCAGAAAAGTGATGATTACCCAAATATATGAGGGATTTGAATGTTAGTAGTTAAGCATAAAGCTATACAATGGGCTAACTGTGCTATGCCCACTACAGGTATCGAAATATGGTTTGTAGCATTATAAGCCCTTAGACTTACTGCTGTGCCACTGGGGGGCTATGTGGGGGATCTGTGATAACATAACAAGCTAGTAAGTGTTAGATAAATTGTCATACTCCTTGCGAGTTAACTTTTCTTATCATTTTCTTCATCTGACATTACTTAGTTAACGTATTGATACCAGAAATATGCTCTCTGCAAGTACCCTAATTTCTATGTAAAGTTGTAAGCAAATTGTTTCTTACCATTTGAAAAACAATTTTTTCAATTACTTTTCATGTTGTTTTTATTAAAATATATCTACCTAACAAAAAATAAAACTAAATATGGTGGTGGCTTGAAGATCTCCAGCTTAGTGGATAAATTTGTGAATAGAAATATGGGGGGGTCATTTTAAATGCAACTTTACGCATAAACATACACAGAATGGGAAAGGTAAACAAAATGGGGTTAAATTTGACATTCAGAAAGAGAGACGAAACTGTAGTTGTAAACTTTAAACCAACAGTTAAGTACTGAATATAAGAGATAGAAAGAAATTTAAAAGTTGCATTCATTAGTATTTGTAAATTTTTATAGCTTGTGGAAATGAAAGATAAAACTAGTAGAGTCAAACGTACAAATATTCTATAGTTATGTCTAGAAAACTTATGTAATTATACTATATTTTTCTCTTGTATTATTATAGAGGAATATTTCTCCAATGTGTAGTTCAAAAAATTTTTCTGTGTTTTTTAACATCAAACATACCTAACTAATTTAAAGTTCACTAATATTAAGACTTTTATTTTTTGGTAGAAACTCATATACATATATATGGGAAAATTTTAATTTTTCTTAATCCAGAAAGTTGATGGGTTATATGACAAAGAAAGGAAATAAACTGAGATACGTTTGATCCATAGCAAAACATCCTACTTTCATCTTCAATGTACAAGAGTGAGAATGAAAAGATCAGTTGCTGGAAAAGCAATAATTTAAGGTTTTTATTGTATTTGTGAAATTTAGTCACAGGTTATTGTGAAAAGTTGTAAAGAACTGCATGATATTAGTTTTGTCTTATTAATGAAATATGAATATGTCTGTATGACTAGTAAGGAATTTGAGTAACTACTTACAGATTTCTCAGAGAAACAAAATAATTTTGAAAGCTAAATTTGTATTTCTCCTTTATTCAGAGTTCTCCCCTGAAATGTTTTCAGTTTTGGTGTAATCAAACTTTTATATTTTACAAATTCATCCCACATTTTTAACCAAACCATAAGGTATGATACAGAAGCAGGCTACTTGTCACTGTTAGATTGTCATTTAAGTCAAAAAGTAATATTTAGGTAGTAAAATTTTCAAGGATATGCTTTATAGCAGCATTTAAAGTCAAGTGTTGCTAATTAGGACTAATGACAGTGTTAACTTTTACTGATGTAAGGGGTAATTTAGATGTATTTGTAACTTAGTTAACAGTAAAAATCTAGCATCAAATTTATATTTTAACTGAAACTTCAACATTTTACTGCTGGAGCTGATATGGTGTGTTGACAGCTTAAGTCATAACTTTAAAACTGTGTTTCTTTGGAAATGTTTGTGTTGGTTTCAAACTGCATAGGAAAGATTAAATTGTTCTTGCCAAATGTTGATTCAGAACAGCTTGGAATTTTATCAACACTTAACACCCATTTCTATTCAACTTATTTTTTTAAACTAAATTTTTTATTCATGGTTTGGAAATAGTAGATTAAATGTACAAGAAAATCTGGCTCAGACCAACTTTAGGATGTACAAGATCTATATTTAATTAAATGAAGGAAACTGTAGAAATGTAAAAAGAAATATCGTAATTTTCAATTCGGTGCATCTGTCATGGAAAATGTGGTTAGGTAATACCAATGTTGCAAAAGGCATTAGATTTGCTGCCAGTGTTGTTACTAGCAACAAACTAAACTATGCAAAAGTGAACTGACAACCAATGGATTAAAAAATTATAAAAACATATTTGAAGTTCATTTATAAAATGTTATATTATCTTGTATGAACTGACCAAACAATTTTATAAGAACAAAAAATAGAAAAAAGTATACCACATTAGCAGGTGCAATAGCTTGTCAACTAATATACTTACCTGTATCTTCATTTTACGATATCTCCTCTGGGCTATAACTCGACGAACAAAAGCTTGAATCTTGATCACAGCCCTCCTTTTGTGTTGGAACTCTCTTCGAATGACAAAGCCTCGACAACGGGCCTAATAATAAGATTACAGTTCATAACTGTTACTCTGAACATGTGACAGTTTTTATTGTTGAGTTGTGATACTTGACAATTCAAAACTGTGTGTATGTGTATGTATATATATCATTATTAATCACACAGTTCTTTTACTTATGATATTTTCTTTCTTTGTTTAAACACAAAGCTATACAATGGGCTAGCTGTGCTGTGCTTGCCATGAATATTAAAACACTGATTTTTTGAATTATAAATCCTCAAGCTTATCACTGATCCACTGAGGCTATTTATAAAAGAAAATGTCAGCTAATTTATTTGCTTTAATACACAACAAAAGCACGATTACAATAACAAGTATACATTTTTTTTCATTTGACAACATTTTTTTAAATGTTATAATACAATTACTGGTGATGACTGAACTTTCTTTCAAGTAAAGTAAGCTCTGAAAATTAGTACAAAAGGCACAGATAAATAAATTTTGGGATTTGAATTACCCTACAAACAAGGTGGATATGTTTTATTCCAAACACAGATGTCATTCATTATGAAGATCTATGTAATATAATGATTTTGTTTGTTTGTTTGAAGTTAAGCACAAAGCTACACAATGGGCTATCCGAGTTCTGTCCACCACTGGTATCAAAACCCGGTTTCTAGCATTGCAAGTCCGCAGACATACCACTGTGCCACTGGGGGGGGCTATAATGATTTACATTTAACTGCATCTTACTAGAAAATTTTGTTTCCAAAGACAACGTTTTGAAGTCTTTAGGAAGTAATGAACTAACCAAAACATGGATTATAGCTGTAAAGATAATCTAAAATTTATTTTACAATAATCATAATGAAAGGTTCAAAACTTGTGTATATTTTTTGCATTGAAATTTGTATTTAAAGGAACTGAATGAATATGAAATAAATTTACTCATTTACACATAAGCATGAACAAAATCAATAAACTTACTAAGTCTGTTTTTAGGAGAGTGGGAATCTAATTTTTTTTATTTCTTCAGCTCAGTGTGGTATCTGAGACCTTGTAGCTAGTTTTAGTAATGCATCATCTTTGAACAACTCAAAGTATTATAGTTTTTCTTCACCCATACATGGCCAATCACTTGGGTGAAATACTAATGTGATACTACATTTTGTTTGCCTCTTATCATGTTAGGTTGAATCTATGACCTGTTGCATGTGAGGCATGTGCCCTTCTGAGCAAAAGGGTTAACCCATAATTCATTGTTAGCAAGTTACTTTATAACATCTCAAAGTATCATAGGAGTATGAACATTAAAAAAACTTTACTTACTTGCAGAGAAACAATGTGACCTCGGAGGTGTTTAAAGCGATGAGAGAGGATGCGAGATCTAATTAAGGCCTGCAATCTCTGATACCCTATCATCATCTAATGGTAAGTATAAACAAGAGAATTAGAAAATTGACTATTTTGAAATAATAAACACAGCTTGACTGAGGTTTTAAAATGTCCTCTACATCGTTTGGATCAAAAGTCAGAAGACTGTGTTAAAATTCAAGTACTTTCACTTAAATATTTTATTTATTTATTTAGCATGGAGTATGTACAATATTTGTCATCAGTTATCATTAAAAGTTATAATAATACAGCACAAAAATCAAATCATGTGACAGATACTAATACCGCATTAAAGTTATTGAATTTGTACATAATTAATAAATATATTTAATAATAATAAAATACAAAAAAATTCCTATGAAATTATATTTCAAATAAGTGATTTTTTTGATATAAATAAATCCTTATATAATAAGTTTTGTTCTTCATATGTGTGTATATATATATACTTTTTTAATACATGAAATTAAAAATAACACTGCTTTGATCAACTCTATATTTCCATTAGTTTAATAGCTAAATTACTGCTATCTAAAAAACGTTTACATACTGCAACAAAACGGCGACGTTCAGCGTGACCTCTCCAGAAATGTTGAATAATGAAAGCACTTTGTCTCATACGCACAAACCGTCGACGATAATACCAGCCCCTAATAGCTTTTTGTAAAATCAAGATCTTCCTCGTAAGGACTCGGTCTCTCTCTTGCTCTAGGAAAAGGTCATGGGCATCCTGAAATAACAGTATCATTTTTCTTTAGGTTTAAAGAAGAAAAACACACATTTAAAGTCTAAAGATAAACTGAAAATTGTGTACTTTTTCTTCTATTTCAGTATAACTTTATGTGGTAAATATTTTTTCATTGAAAGTCAAGAAAATCACAAGTCATAGAACTTAGTGTTCAAAATAATTAAAAAAAAATTTTCTCTTTTCTTATTAATGAGGTCACATAATATTTAAGAACTACCATAAACTTTCCACTGCAATTCTTTTCTTCAAAAAATAACAATACAGAAGTAAAATTATCATATTCAAAGATAAACATAAGGAGTATTATTTAAACATTACAGAAAGATCAAATTATTTTTAAAACATCTAATTTAAATATTATACAATTTTGCAACTAAACAAATACAAATGACTAAACGCACCTTCAAGAAAACTTTTGTACGGCCCAACTGAAAGTCAGAGTTTCCAAGAACAATTGAACAAATACGAATTGCTGCAGCTTTACAATCTATTTTATGTGCTGGTCCTACTCCAGGTATAAGAAACCTGTACCTGTCTACAAACTCTTTGAATGTATGTCGAATTGGGTAGCCAGCCCTTCTTATCCTGATGGTTTCCATCATGCCAGAATATCTCAGCTGCTTACAGCACAGCTCCCTGTCAAACATCTGTAAAATAAAACTTTTTCATAAGTTTGATATATTAAAGATTTGAAAATCAAAATGGGATACGTTACAATATAAAAGAAAGGCTCAAATTCCTGCACTATTTGTTAGCAAACCTAGCTTCTGAATCCCAACACATTACATTTATATTAGTAAATTAATCATAAATTTAAGTTACAGTCCAAAAATTAGTAAGATGAAATGCAACTATGAGTATTTATACAAGATATAAGAAGAATGCGAAAGGCAATTTCGTACCTTGACATTTGTTTTTGTTGATACCAAGTGTAGCGTATAAACTATTAAATATTAAAGGAAATAAATAAAATTGAACTCCAATTTTGACATCAGATATGCTTTTGAAATATCAATGTTCAACATCCCAATATTTAACTGTATTTTTAATGAAATTAAAAATCATATTGATGATATTCAAACCTGCTAGTATTCATTTTGCTGTGACAGACATGAAGAAGATAAGTTTGTTGAAAATTTAACTAGAAACTGATTTTACAAAACAAGTCAGAACATGTAAGTATGATAAAATAATAATTTGTTACAGGTGAATGAAAGAAAAAATTCTTACTATTGGTTTTTTCAATTCATTGGGTTTTATACACCTGATAAAAAAAGGATGGCACTGTCCAAGTGTTCGCATCAAAGAGTCAAGTGACTTCTTAAATTGTGCACTCAGTGTTGGTGCTTTTTTCCTGGTATCAGTTCCCTGTTTAAAGAAATTAAGTAAAAATGGAATATTTTTAAAACTCATCAGTGATGACTGAAAAAACATAACAAACAATGAAACAAATTATCAATATTTAACCATAAACATTGTTCACAATGTGCACCAAACAATTTAGAGATAGAAAAGTTCCCTCAAAAATAAAATAAAAAAAGAAAGCATTCCAATTTTGAATAAATGATAGGCATTGCTAAATTGGGATGATCATCTGTAATTTTAAATAACACATCACAACTGTTAATATACAATTGCTCCTTGGTGAAAAAAAAAAAAAAAAATAAAGCTTTATCTTCTCATCTCCCCACCCCTTTTAAAACTGGGTTTAAAGTTATTATATAATAATATAAATTGTATAAAACACACTAATTTTATAGTACAAAGACATCATCTATGTTGGTACTACCACTGCTCTTCAGCACAGAAACCGTTTTAAACAACACATTCAGTTTACATAGCTCCAGCATTCATACGCAGTATGGTTAACCAGATCTCTATATAATCACTGTTTTATCTATCAATGTATGTGTGGAATATATACATATTTCAAACATTAAGTTAAAATATAGATTTTTTTTAATACTTAATATGAAGCAAGAAGTATACCTTCCACCCCCAGAAATTAGCAGTGAATAAATTCTGAAGTTTGAAGGACTGTGTTCTGAATATTTGGGGATTCGGCAGATGTCATGCATTTATGTACATAATTTTATTTTACAATAAATGGTTGTTCATTTTACAAGGTTATTTGCATGCTGTACTTCTCTATGCACTAAAATTTGTGGAAGGCTTGAAGTCTGTGCCTAAAGATTATAAACATTCTACTCTCATGATTGAAACTTCATGGTTTTGAACAGTCTTTTCTAGCATCAGTTGATACATTCACAGTTTTAAATATATAGTATATCTAAAACATAAATCCTGAGTGATGACTTACAGAATATTACACACCACTTTGGTTGCATTACTTTTACCCTACAATTTTAATTACAAAATCATTACTTATGTAATAAATACAAATAATTTAGTGGACTCAACATTTCACACGTTAAACTGTCTCTTTGAGTCGTATATTAACTCTTTCAATACTGGGTTGGTAAATATAACGACCTCGTAACCATTTTGTTCTTGTTATAGTTCTCATGCTATAACTTTTAAATTAGTAAGTGAACGTTAACGAAAGTTGGCAGATTATCAGTAAACATTACGATGCTTTCATATGCAAAATATCTAATTTTTTTTATTAAGTCTTAAGGTTTGTAAATCAATGTTTCTCTTATGCTTTTTTTTTTCTTTTCACATCTTTCCTATCTTATAATGTCCGGATAGTTATCAAACGTTTCTTAAGAAAAAACTCTACATTTTATCTGTTATTTTCAGTAATTAATCTTTGTACGGGTTTGGTAGATTTTAACGATCTTGTATGCGAGTCAACAAAATGAGGTAACATGTCCTTTCACATGTGAATCGTCTCGAAAGGGTTAATTAACCCTCTCCACACGGGTCATCGCATTTGTTGACTAGCATTCAAAATTTTATTGAACCACTATTTTATGAATTTATGTCAGTAAGTTTGGTATCAAATTGTAGATTATAATTCAAATTTTAGTACTATACATTACTCAATTTCTTAATTTAAAAGTAAATATTAAAAAAAAACACCTAAACATCGATTTTTGGTGTGTCATGAAGTATGGTGAATGCAGCACTGGTTCAAATTAGATGTTTGTGATGTCCAAATACAAAGTCTATAGTTTCTTACAAATTAGGAACTCAAATTACCAATATGGACAAGCTAGAATATGAAATATTTGCTGAAATATTGCTCATATACTGAATCACACACAGTGGCCCTGCCCACCTTTTTTCATTTTTGGAAACACTTCCTTATACACACTTACTTCTGTCTATGATATGCGAACAATCAATTGAAAGCTCAGAATGTCCCCCAAGTGGCTTTCTCAACCATTTTGAAGTATTATGACATCAACTCGTTCTTTCGATACAAGACTTCAAGATGTTAAGTTGAATCTTTAGTCTGCTCAAAATTTAATATTTTTTTAGACCCAAATACAACTTAATTACTAAGCTATGGAATTCTATGGTATTGATATAGTAATTTATGATTTTTGGATTATATCAAATGTATATATAAAACCTAAAAAAATTATTTCATTTCATATCCTCCACATGCGAAATTTTATAAGGCTTAGCAACCTACAGCAAGCAGCAAATGAATACAAAGAGATAATTTTTGCAATATTTCTTTATTTACTCTTCTATGTTTTAAGAAAAATATGTTTAAGAACGTATTTCTAAATAGTAATAATGTATATACATATATAATGTATTATAACTGAAATGTGACTGTACTTTACAAAATATTAGTCCACTAAAACACAGCCAACACAGGTCACTTTTTAAAGGCCAGTTTTATACTCTTGGACCAGTAACATGAGTGCACATCCATCGCATCACTGTAACTTCTGTAATGTTAGCCAGACATGGTTGAAAGGTCAATATAATAAAAATAATAAATGCATAATGTTATGACATTTAAGCTATTTAGACTAAACAAAAAAAGCATAATTTATATTTACTTCCAAATTTTTTGTGGTGGTTAAAAGAGATTCGATAGTGAAAATAACAGATAAAATATAAAGTTTTTTTCTTAAAAAACATTTAATAATTATCTGGAGGTTATAAAGATTTTGCATGTAAAATTTGAAAATTTTCTACTGCATAAAAGTATTTTAATCTTAAAATGAAAATTACTTTGCATGTTGGATAGGCAACATGCGAAAGAAAAAAGGTATGAGAAAAACATTACTTAAAAATCTTAAGTCTTAATATAAAAAAATTGATATTTTGCAGACAAAAGTCTTGTAATATTTATTGATAATCTTCCAAAATTCGTGAATATATGCTTATTCATTTAGAAGTTATAGCACGAATACTATAACAAGCACAAAATGGTTAGGAGGTCGGTCCTAGGAACCGAGCCTGTGCTGGAAAAAGAGTTACTATTACTTTATATTTGGAGAATTAACATATTACTTACCATTCCAATATCCTGTATAAAAAGATTTTGAAGGAACTTATTATTGGCTACTTGAATTAGCTGCATCAGATCTGCATTAAAAGTGTCCCTATTCTTCTCAAGAAAACCTTAAAGATAAAGATATATATATATAAATATATTAAGCAATAAATAACAGCATTATCCAACTTCAACAAAATATTTTTTACAACTCATTAGACAGTTCTTCATTTACCACGTACTCTTCATTATCTATAATAATATTAAACTGTGTATACTAGTTAAAATTTAACAAGCTATTTCTACTTTGTTTATTCAACTAAACATCTATGATTTTTAAAATGTGATGTATTCCTATATTCTAAACTGTCTTATCCAACAGACATGTAAAATTAAGCTCAGATGGTCTTCAAAACAAAAAAAATGGGGACTTACCAACTAAGTATATTTAAATAAAGTAATAAAGTAGTGGAAAATATACCTTCATTCAATATACTTGCCTTTCATTTCAATCTAATAATCTTTTGAACAAAAATTCATAACTTAGATGCATATAAGCTTACTACTATAAAATTAACATCAACATTTAAAGTAGCTTGATCATAAAGATAATTTTGCATTTGTACTTAATAAACAACAACAACAAACATAAATCATTTGCTATCTTCAGCAACTCACCTTGAGTATCATAGAAAACAACACCAGCAAAATGGTTGAGCCCAAAAGATGTATTAATATCTGACTTTGGTTTTAGATAATTCTTGTTATTACCATGAGTCTTGTGAAGCTTATTTAGTAAAGTCTGGTCCGTTCCCTATAACAGATTTAGACACATTTATGAGTAAACTGAAGTTCTAAATTTATAATTTGTTGACCAATCTGCTCTCACATACAATATCTAAATACATGTACATGATTAATTTTATCCTTATAAATCATCCTCTTACAATTAATTTTGTCAAGGTAACAGTTATACAACTTTAATTTGGAGTAAGTCAAATGAGGAGAACAAATATGCAAGTAGAAAAACAAACTAAAAAAACTGATAAAGCAAAAGCTTTAACTATAAAACATTACATTTTTGAGTAAAAAAACATTTTATCTTCAGGTTTGTAATACTTTTTTGTCAATTATTTTCATTTGATTGACATATTATGGTTCTTTTCATTCTAATGTTATTTTTCTAGTTTATTTATGTTTTTGTTCTTTTGAAAACATGTCCTTGTGGCTGGGCATTCTTGTATAAATGGTAGTTCCTCATATGTGAAATTATAAAAAATCTCTTGATCAGATTATTTGATTTCTATTTATTTTTTTCTAAGCTACCTGTTTGCTTGTGGTCTGCATATTTGAAATTAATTTGTTAAAGATAAAATTACATAAATTAACTTCAATTTTAGCTTTCCATAAGTATGTAAAATTATATCTCATTAGTAGTTTTGTATATTAGTAATTAAGTAAATATAAAATGACAAACATTGAATCAAACAACTAACATTCGTTCTTGGATATAAAAATAAATTATAGTGCAAGATGAAAATTTTTTCATAACAACCTTAGGAAATTTGCTTTCTTCATCAATTAGTGCCATGATATTCATGGGTTTAATTGCAATCAGATCCAGTGCTTCCTGATTATCCACAAACTCAATATGCTGCCAGTTAATAGCCTCCAGGTTGTATTCTTCTTGCTCCAGTTTAAATATGTGACGAACAAAAAACTGTTGCAGGTTTTCATTGGCATAATTTATGCAGAATTGTTCAAAGCTGTGACAAATATTTGTTTCAAGTCATTTATAAAGAAAAATACAGGTTTTATCAAAACATTCAAAAGTAAAATTAGACAAAATTTGGACAAATAAATGTTTTGTTTTAATTTATAATAAACATCCGTTTATGATATTAATTAAAACACAAAATACTAAAATGACCAAAACAAGTTTAAGGGATTGAAGATAAATCTGTTTTAATAAAGATTCTTACCCAATTCTACTGAACATTTGATATAATTAATGT